GTGACATAACCATCATCCCTCTTTTTTGGTTCACCGCCATGTATCTATAAATCATTTCATTGAAAAAACACCCATCTTTAAGTCGAGTCACCACCACCATCATCTACTAACTTAGCCAACCCATTTATCATATAAAAAAATTTGGGAAGTAAAAAGTTCTGTATAAAGCTAAGTGTCACTTTTTTTTTATTAAAAAATGACATACAATGTCACTTTTATTAAAAAGTTATGTTTGTTCCTCAAAAAGTGAAAAAAAAAGAAGTGACACGCTATTCAAAAAAGTGACAAAAACTCAAAAAAAATAACAAACACTCAAAAAAGTGTCGTAAATTCAAAAAAGTAACAAAACGGATAAACATTTACATATAGTCATGTATGGGATCATACACCACCATCGATCTGCATTACCTAACTGATCTACGCCCTATCATCTCTCGCCACTACCACCAACCATGGAAAACCACCATGTGCGACCTTAGATTCTGACTTTTGCAGGAGCCAATGCACACACTGTCAACTCTACAATGTGCTCTGTGCAGTTTTTAGGGTAGTTACCTGTATTTTCAATATTGATTAGGGTAGTCCATTGTTCCCATTTCTTATCTTCACTTGTTTATCTTTTAGAATGGATCTAGGGGCGGTTGATTTTTTTTTTTTTTTCTCTTTGTGATTATATTTCATTTCTATTAATTAAACATAGCACATATTTTCATTTTAAGAACACAACATCCTATAAATTAGAAGTGACAGAAAAAAAGTAACAAAAATTCAAAAAAGTGACAAATACTGTTGATGAGATAATTTCACTTTTGAAAAAGTAACATAAGTGGGAAGTTGGGGAACAAGAGCATGATAATGATTATGGCTATGGAAAAAAGAGAAATTATAAGGCTAGTGATGATGAGAGAAAAAGGAGACTGAGGGAGAATGAAGAGAACTTGGCTGATAGATTGAGAAAGGAAGAAGAGATTGAACTGGTTAAAAAGAAAGCTGGAGAAGAACATTCTTTATTTGTATTAATGTTTTGATCCTAAATCCGCTTCCAACTTCTACGTTTCTACAAATCTTGAATGGAAGAAAGTCATTGATAAATTTTTCTTATGTACTAATATTATAGTCTTAATAAAATTCTAACTCAATCATTGAACACACGTTCTTAACGGAAAAGGACACATTCAGAATGAGAAAGCTAAACAACTGTAAAGAGTGGAGTTAACTTTTCAAATAAAAAAAATTCAATTATATATTGATAATCAAGTCCACATTCCCAAACCAACATAAGAGTTTTTGACACCTGATTATTAAATACAGATAAAATAAAAAGACTCCAACGAAATCATTATATAAGTTTTACTGAAGCTCAATATATAGGAACTAACACCGCTACTCTTCGAAACCTATCTCAAAACAAAAGATAGTAAAGTTTACTTCTTTATACTCAAATCCAAAAAGGCTCTATTTGGTAAGAATAAGCTGTCAAAAAAATAATCAGTTCAATATATTGCTCTACAAATTACTAATAAAATGCCACTCAATATCATCTGGCAGCAACTGCAATTGATTAGAGCAATATCTCCAAATTATAGGCAAACAATAAATAACACTGCCTTTGTGCAGGACACGATTAGCAACCACTCAATGCACATCTTCTTCATACAGATCCCATCCTCTTATACATACAAAAGAGTTCATGAGAAAGAGAAAGGACTGAAAGAGATTCTAATATTGTAAGAAAACTTTACTGTTATGTAAATGTTATTTGAACATTAACTAGACAAAAATACCCTTTAAAGAAGCCAATTCACTTGACTGCGTAATCAACATCGCTCCCTCTTCATTCTAACAAATCTCATGATCCCAAACTCGTAAATCGACCTTAAAAGTACTCTTTTGCATTGCGAAACTTTTTATTCTAAGAAAAACACTCTAAATGATCCCAAGCAAAATCGTCGAGAGGAAATTACACTCCTTACCTAAGATTGATATAATTTCAAAAATCACTTTGTTATTAATTTTATTCAAGATATACTGTTAAAAATATAGTAAAATAAAAAAAAAATGTAAATCACCTCACTCATATTGAATAATCAATTATGAGCTATATATGTGCCATCAAACACGGCACTTACCAAAATTTTATGAATAATAATAGATGGTGCATGAACATATGTTTCTGCTAATTATGCATATCTAGATAGATTATAGAGCAGTGAAAAAATTATTGAGTCCTAAAACAATAAATTATGTGTTTCTGCCACAAGGGAACATTTATACCGAATGGACTTAGGAGGGAAAAAAAGAGAGAGAGAATGATAGTTTTTTTCCCCAAAACATATGTGTTGGTTTGGGCAATGAAAATTTTCTTGAATTCTGAAATGGTTTAGAAACAACAATAATTGACCATATATGGCGTCTAAATTGGGTATATAGTATTTTCCAAAATATTAACCATACTACAAAGTAATATTTGGATTATAAAAATCATATACTAAATTTTGAATATTTATTTCGTAATGATAGAGATACGAAAATTTCCGAATCTTCAATTCACTTTAGACCATGAGAAGCCCATAGAAAAATCAAAATTTAGTCAGAATATTCAGCTACAAAATACATTAAATTGTCTATGGTTATGATGGGAACCTAAGAGGCTTTCTTGACAAGTTCTTGGACGTAATTCTCGTCAAAGCAGCGATGACCGGCATCATAAACTTGCTCTTGCTCTTGATCACCACCCGGATGTTTCATTTGAAGCGTCTAAACAGTTTGGGAGTAGAAAGTATAGAAGCTTTGCTCCCGACGGTTTGGGTGTTTTGAAGAATCGAGGTTTTGATTTGAAGAATTGAGGTTTTGATTTGGGGCTCTGGGTTTTGGGGTTTTGAACGTACTAATTACGTTGTTAAAATTTTTTATTAGTTTTAAAAGTATTATTCAAATTTCTCATTTTTAGGGGTAGTTGACCTAATTTTCCCATTAAAAATAGAAACCAATTTAAACATCGTGGACCAACGGATCATGAAATTATTCATGTAAATTAGGCCACAAGAAAAATCAATTTTGGTGGGAAAAACTACCACGTGTCCAAAACCAAGAGGTAGTTGTCAAGTGTGTTAATTATTAAATACGAAAATGATAATTCATATATAAAAGTTTACATTGACTCTATTTGATCCACATTCTTTTAAAAAAATACATTATTAAATAGTGTTTTGACATCATCTCCACCACACATTTTTTAATAGAATAATATTACACGTAAATTCACAAATTTTCCTTATTTTTTAACTACACATTTTCCATAAAATACATTCTTATAAAAATAATGTGGCTCAAACAAGAACATTATTTTGTCAATTTAACCAAAGCGAATTTCAAGATCAAATTTTAATAATAAATGATAATTATTATTAATTAAAAGTTTATATGAAGATCAATTCAAACAGATGAGCTTAAATATTAAACACTAGTTAGTACTTCCGTATTAATATAACATATCAATCCCGCTAGGCAAACAGGGATTGTTGACAGGGTTAAGTTCCCGACTGACGTGGCATTGGTTTAAAAAAAAATTAAAAAAAAATAAAATCTGTCCAAAGCAAGAGTTGATTGCAATCCCGGTAGCCATTTTCCCCCAAAATGAACCCTAAGCTCCCAAATCAAATCTCCCAAGTTAGAACTCGAACTTCACCATCTCTGGCCACACTTCGGACGACCTCATAGTCGGCGCTCCGACTGCACTTCGATCGGGGGGTTTGGCCATCGCCTCACCGTTTCTAGCCACGGGTTTGTTGTTGTTTCCATCCATTTCCACCAGCTCCCGATTCACCGTTGTCGGGGGGGGGGGGGGGGGGGTCCTAACATGGTACATTACTGATGAAGAAAACTCTCTATGTTGCATTCCAACTTGTTGTCAGCAGTTGTCATTATGCATCGTTATCACTATTTTCCTGTGTCACTATGAAGCTGCTGTTTGTGTTGTTGTTATTTCAAGTGTTCACATCCATGGTTGTTCATAGTGTAGTGCTGCTAAATTGAAGGGGGGTCTAACATGGTACATTACTAATGAAGAAAACTTTATATGTTGCATTCCAACTTCTTGTCAGCAATTGTCACCAGTCACAGCCTGCTATTGCACGACCACTGTGAAGTTTGAGATGAAATTATCAATGTTCTTCAACATTGAAGTGGTTTTTGTAATGGTTATAGTGACTGTGAATTTATTTCTGTTAACCGTGGTTTATTTGTATGGCAGAATGGGCGGAAAGAATAGAGGAATGTGCCATAGTTGTAGAGCTAGGGGCCATTTCTTTGATGAATGCCCAAGGAAGCACAGATGTCGGGCATGCAAGAATGGATTTGAGAAGTGTTTCATGGTGGAGAAGTAGACAGCAAATAAAGGGAGATTATTTCTCTGTTGCAGTGAGAAATGCGGATTTTGGGATTGGGTTGTCAAAGAAAAATCACCCGGTGAATCGTCTAGCGACAATTCTTCATTAGTAAACCTTGCGATGAACGAAAATGATGAAGAAATGTCCAAAATGTTTGAATCTCGAGTTCACCTAAATGATGATGAAGACCTACATATTTCGGTGAGCGTGAGAATATGCAAGGCGAATTCTAGTGTGGAAGCGAATGCAAAAGGGAAACGATCGACTTGATTATTAGATAAAAAATTGCTTCTTGGCTTTTGACATAACTTTTGTATGTGTAGCACTATTGCGTGTTAGCTCTCATTGTCTTCATGTAGTAATTTCAATTACTCTTGTTTAAGTATTATGTACCGACTGAGATGGATTAGGAATGTGTAATATTTTGAATTGAAGTATTGCCACCACTGTATTTGGATTCGTGTTCTCTTTATGAATTAAATTATATATCTACTAGACATTTAAATGTTGCTCCTGGCTGCAGCACAGAAAAGGGCAAGAAAACTGAAATAAGCTTTATACCATTGATGTTGAAGACAATTAATTGAACATTGTAAGGTACACTGAAAACCATTAATTGAACAAATAAGCTTTATAACATATTAAAAGTGACAGAACTTAAATACATTTGTTGGTTGATCAAATAAGCTTTCAACCATATTAAAAATGATAGAACTTAATTACATTTCTTAGTTCAACATGCCTAATGAGACCATAACAACAATAGTGAACTCCTAAAGACCATTCAATATCCATCCACATAATGTACAGCATTTAACAATTGTATGAGTGCCCAAGCAACTGATCTGGGGGTACACTTTTGCCAAATATGAAGTCCCAGGTCTTATAAATAGCTGTAGCCTGCGTAGTAAGTCCCAGGTCATGTAAATATCTTCAAGCATTGATTCCCTTATGTCTTTGACAATAGCAACCTATTAGCAAACTATGTATTAGAAGAAAGCCTCAAGCAATATTTAGTAAATGATGCAAAAACAGCTATATATATTCTGCAGACCTGATAAAGAAGCTGGGAATTAGCATAAATTAACAAAAAGGCCACCAACTTGTGCTAAAAAAGAAACAAAAACATCTGATGATTTTTTGGAAATGAAGGCATCATGTGCAGGGAAATTTCTTTTTTTTGTTGACACTGGATATACAATTTGTGGTAAATGAAGGTGTTGTAATAATGAAGGCATCATTACCTGCCCATTTCCAAAAGTTTCATTTTTGCTCCATTTCGAAACGTTCTTGAGAAATAAAGATTTTTTTTCCCCAAGACATCAAAACCAGGCATTACTTCTTTATAGAATGCCTGCAATTTCAACCAAGCAGAACAGACATGCACTTACAGCCAAAAAGGAGGAGAAATTGAAATATTACTGGAACAAGTAAATTGTGTTGATCAAAGAAGCAACATAAATATATCTTATCACATTTCTTCAATAAGTAGAATTCATTACACAAACCTGAGCCTCCATGGTCTGATAAATATGGATGATAGTATGGCATTGGTTGACCTACAATGAAATATAGATGTTAGTTGCATATTTCAAATGACATCGAGAATTTATCTTTAACCAATTGATGGTGCGAGCTTACCTTGAGAACTATGCATAATATTTGATGACGATGGTACGATGTAATTTGACATCGGTAATACCCCTGAATGTGAGAATGGTGTCACAAAAGTATACTGTGAGACGGGAAATGTTGATGGCATCGAATATTGTAGGCAAGGAGGCGGAGGCTGCATTGAGTAGTTTTGTTTTTGAGCTTCATGAACGTGGACAGCGCTCTCTTGTGTACCAGTATGTCGTCCAATAGGTCTCCTTCCTTTGCTTGATGCTGACTGTAAATTTATGTAGTGTGAAAGTATTCATTACAATCAAATATTTGGATATGTGTTTTTTTAATAAATTAAATCAAATTTACCTTTGTGTTCTTCGAACTCGACTCCAGTGGACCTTTTGTCCTCAGTTTTTTGGGCGCTCCCTTTCTACGCGACAATTTCGAATCTCTTATTTTCACGTTGGCATCGTTCTGGGAGTTGGTACACTGATCGGCTACTTGAATAGTATGATGTGCGATCACATTGCTTCCACTGTGCGACATTTTCAACATCGAAAGATCTTTGCACTGAAGTTTTATCCAATCCAGTATCACACGCGACCGCCCTTCGTCATCTGCAGCAAGGTCAGCCAGTTTTGCAAACTCATGACACAGTTCATCATATCTCAATTGCTTAGGAGAGCTGATCAAACCATCATAATTTACGGCGACTCTGGTATGTGCCCCACTAACGTCTCTTCTCCATCTCCGCAGTTTGTACCTCTTCGGAAGGGATGTGACATCGCAACGAATAAGAACTGTAATTGAATGGCGACAAAGAATTCCCCTAAACTCAAACAAATGGCAACTACAAACGATGTCATAGTTCTCTCTCTCAAATGAGACGAAGAATGTTTTTTTCCTTCGTCGCCCCTCATGCATAACATCCTCGCGCACCTCATACATCGTCAACGTATCTCTTTCCAAAGTAGATATGACATTGCAGTAAACCTTCCCCGTGAACTCATCCTGAGCTTCCCTGAATTTTGCAATGGTATAAACTGACTGAAATTGTAGCTCCATTTCGTATTGCATTGCACATGGGACCATTTGCGAAAAAGATTTGAAATCAGCCTGGAACTCTTTCTCTACCTTACATCGCAGTGCTACTTCGTACTGTTCTACAAATTGCTTCGGCGTGGTCTTCGAATGACGTAACCATCAAAGAACGCATTCATACTCTCGCTCCTCTCTATCGTCGACATCCCTGCCCAAAAAGTGGTCTTCAAAAAACATGGAACCCAACGGCTTCTGTTCTCATACAACCCAGATAACCATTCATTATCTTCCAAGTTGTACTTGTCTATCATCGCAGCCCACCCATTCTCAAATTCTTCAACAAATTGACAATCATAAACTAATACATGTGTAGCACCAAATATCGAAGACTTGTCATCATGGTACCCAAATTTTTCAGGCACCATCTTTAAAATATGCCATAGACACCATCTATGCCTTGTGTTTGGAAAAATGATTTGAATGGCATTTTGCATGGCCCGATCTTGGTCGGTAATTATTCCATGAGGTGCTTGACCATGCATACATTGTAGCCATATTTTGAACAACCAGATAAAATTATCTGTATCTTCGCTCGACAACAACCCACAACCAAGTAATGTTGACTGTCCATGATGATTGACGCCAACAAACGGGGCGAACGGCATGTCATACTTGTTTGTCAGGTACGTGGTATCAAAAGTAACAACATCGTCGAATTCCTTATACGCTTGCCTGCACCGATTATCGGCCCAGAAGACTTTTTTAGTCGGGATTCATCAGCTAAATCCATGCTAAAGTAAAATCCCGAGCACTGTGTTTGCATCTTTGCAAAGTATGCTTGTATTGCAACGACATCCCCTTCACCAAGTCTTAAACGCCTAACTTTTTCAACATAGTTTCGACAATCTTTCTCAATACAACTCAAGTTATCATAACCACCTACTTCGACAACGACAGAATTGAAACTTTTATGCAACGGAATTCCAGCTAAATCATTGACTTCAAGCTTATGTTTCACGTGTGAACTCAATTCTCGGTTACATCGATATAACCTAGATTTCGATGGACTAGTTTCGTGATTGTGGTCGAGGTGGACCTTGTTAATTCTCCATACCCCCATGAACATCTGATGATGCAGATATCCTGCCTTTGCAACCCATCTGTATTGTTGGTTAGGGCTTGAAGGAACCGCTACTATTACCGATTCTTTGACCTTCACGGCTACATGTGAAGGTTACATATCTTAACTCTCCGTCATCCCCCTTTTTCGAATTCCTTTTCTTAATTGGAAATCCAATTGCATAAGCGGATTTCTTGTAGAAGACAAACATGTCTTTTAACTCCTTAAACTCCATGCCTACCTCAGGCACAATCACACTATCCCCCACCGAGTTTTCACCATCCACAACGTTAACGGAGACCGTAACATTCTCATAATCGGATTCAGCCAACACATCATCATGGTCGATCTGCACTTCGTCCATAGTAGTTGTTACACAAGTAAACAAAAAGTCACATAAACGAGGTAGATTAGGTTTAAATCCTCAATAGAAAACAAACGACAATCAATAAGAATCATGGGTAAAACAAATGACATTCAATACGAACACCAGGAGCTTGAAGCCTACACTTCGAAGTGGCAACTCCACTAACTTTAATATATATCTACGAAAAGCAGGAGCGGAAGCCTAGTCTTATGAAGTGCCAACTTCACTAACTTAAATATGTACCTACTGTATACTATATGGGAGAAATATTTCCGGATCGTAATCAAAGTTTGCCAATTTATATTTATGTCTCCATGTGTGAATCCTATCTGATTACTTCTTTCTTTTATCATCATCATCTCAAATTATACTAATAGAATATTTAATAAAAAAAAAGTATCATAAAGCAGAATAAGTGTTCATTAATAAAAAGTTGACAAGGAAAAAAAATTAGTTGAAATACAACTATTATAATAAAAAAAAAATTAAATTTTTTTATTGCAATTAAAATATAGCGCCATAGAAATCAGTTAGCGTTAATATTTTAGAAAGGTATTGGAAAACCGTGTGAAATAGCAGTGGCAATTGTGTATTTAGATGCAAGTATAATTGTAAGCCGTATTTCATAAATATTCATCAAATTAATACTACAATAATCAATCCTGCTAGGAATTCAAGAAGGAAGCATCTGATTACTTCTTTCTTTTATCATCATCATTATATGATATCCCAACCCAAAACCAAAGTATTCAAATATAATGAGAACAAAAACGGGCGGTCCAAGTCTGATCCATTTAAAGCCATATTTAGCAACCCAACTAATTTCGGTGGTCGAAGCATATTTTTGAAGGTTTTCTGAAATTTCGCTAGGTACACAGGGATTTTTGGACAATAATGTCGTACACAAAATCAATTTTTCCAAGTTCTCTATTATATGTTTAACAAAGTTTATCCCACAATATTGCATTCAAAGCAGGGTAGAATGGTTTTCCTATTCCACGTCAGTTTGTTATACCTCTCCAGAAGGAGAAATTAAAGGACGAAACTTAATTGCAATGCCGGAGCTCAGGCAGGATCTTTAACAGAAAGAGGAATGTGCTTCGGGTATGTTTTCTGGAATTGTGGATTTTTGGTCTTCACAACCACATGAACGTACAGTTCGTTGGCATCAAATCTTCGAGAACGAGGAGTTCTTACACAACTCCAGCCTGAGCTTCGGGTTTGTCGTTGGATTGCACTACGAAGCCTGTCCAAAAAATGCCAGCAGCTGGAATTATTGCAAGAAGGAAGCGTTGTTTTAAGGGTGCATAATTAAATTAAATTCGTGCCCTAGGTTTTGGTTCACCTCTCACGCATCGCCAAATTGCACCACCAAGCCTGTCCAAAAATTATTGCCCGGTTGCAATATGCAGCAGCTAGAATTATTGCAAGAAGGAAGCGTTGTTTTGGTTCGGAATTTAATTAATTTCGTGCCCTAGGTTTTGGTTCACCTCTCACGCGTCCCTCACGTGTGGCCATAAGTTCCCTCCAATTTTACTTGCCACGTCAAATGTTTTGAATCCCTGTTTCTTGTCTGTCGATTAAGCCTATCCAAGAAGCATAATTGTTGAAAATATATACGTGTAAGATGACTTTTTCCAATTCTTTGTACTGCAAACTGGCATTTGACTTATTAATTTTTAAATATTTGAATTGTTTACCGAAATTGCACTTTATTTACACTTTTTTTTCAGTAAATCCTTTTAATATCTCAATTCTCAAACAACTTTTAGTGCAATTTGGTCAACACGTCAGTCAAAACATGCAATATGTTATGGACCATGCTAGACGTACAGTCCACTCTACCGAATTTGTTACAGTATGATGATGTGGCGCAATTTTGAAAATGTAAAAATCTCGTATACAATTTAGAAAAGAAAAAAAGGAGCCATTTTGTGAACCCTACCTTTCTCTATCATTTTCGTTCTCCCTCGAACACACCACCTGGTGGAAATGGAAGGAAAAATTCGACGACGTTGGCATCATTGACGCCGGCGTCGACACTGTATGAACCCCACATTCTTACTCCCATCATTTGAACTGGGCTTACGGATTTGGAGAAGAAATGGAAACAGATAACTTCGTCGCTGGTGACTGCACTGGTAACATTTATTTTTCTTGAAAGATGTTTCTTGTTTATTTCCTGTCATTTTTGCCTTTATAGAACTTGAACTGCTATTGTTTCATCGAAGTGTTAAAGTTTGGGAAAATCTGCTGATGAAACTTCGACTGAATACCCACGTTTGGGGAAATCTGCTATTGTTCTTGGTCGTTTGCTCTTCGTGCATAAATTGTAGATGATGAAACTTCGACTGTACAAATATGTCAATGAAATCTGGCGTTTAATTCTTAGTTCAGATTTCTGGAGCTATCATATATTTTCTTCTTGTTGCATTTGTTTGATGTGGCTACAAATTATTGTCAAGATTTGCAAGTCCCTTCCTCCTAGGCCCAATTCTTTTCTGATTTTGGGTTCTAAAGCAGCTCACTTTGAAACAGTTTGTGTGATTGTTTTGCAATCGTTGTGAAACAGCTGATTCTGTAATGGTTATTGGTTACTGCAATTGTGGAGTAAATATATATTTATTTTGCTTCAGTTCACACTTCCACCTACAATGACCAAATGTGTTTTTTTCTTTATAAATAAGGCTCTAATTCTTTTGCTGTAGGCACTATGTCTGAGTTGTTTCAAATGTGCTGGAGAAAGTGAATACTCAGTTGTTATGCTATGGTGTTATGCAAGGATGATGTAAATGGACAAGTCAGATCAAGAAAGAAAAACGGTTATAGAGCATACTATGGAGGGGACTACTGCCATGTTATTCTAAATTAGTAATGATTGTTGATTTATGCGCCTAACTAGTAATGGTGGTTAAGCTGTCTCAGTTATTTGGTGCCGAAAAGTGAGAATGCTATTATAAATTAGTAATGGTGGTTGATTTGTGCCCCTTACCATGTAGACATTTTGTAAGCTAGTTTATGGTAATATTCATGTGCATCTTGTGATAGCACAGAGGTTGGTGCTTAAGTGACAATAAGTTATTTCATCTTTGGCACGAACACATTTGTCCAAGGACAATGGATTTAGCTTTGATGTAGTACAAGAAAATTGCAAAATTTTAATGATCTTGAATCAGTATTGCCAATTGGCATTCATTTGCAAAGGCAATTGCATAAATCTTGATCATTTTTGTTGGAAAGTGCTTAAACAGCTACATGTGGACTGAATAATAGGTTGAATAATTGCTAAGGAGTTGGTTAAAACTGGATATGCAACAAGTGCTTGAAGACCAAGTCTTTAGGGAGATGGTTGATGCTATTTTTTTGTTTATGCTTTTGATATTAGGAAGCTGATAGTCATGCCTTGTAATCAACAAATTTCTTTGACATTCTGTTAAACTTTAGCTCTATACAAGGAGCTGTGCAGTGAATAAATAAAACATAAGTTTCCTGAAATCATTTTTTTTCATTTATTTCTTTTTGCTTCTTTGTTTTACTCTCGAATAACATCAATTCTATGGGACTATAAATTAGTTCCAGTGACAAGTCCATAGCTGTATAACAATTCTTTTGTTTTACATTTTTGTTTTGTGAAAAAAAAATGGCTTGTGTCCCAGATGTCTTCGATTTCAGATTCTGAAGAAATTGAGCATATACATCGGTTGGATTTGTACTCGTCAATAGAAGCCGACCGCATAATCGTTTAGATCCTCCCAAACTGTTTCCTCAACTTCTTCCCATGAATTGGCAATCTTAATTCTTTCGACAGGCTGAAAATAACTCCCAATATTATTATCACGACGAATACATGATATGATCCCGGGTGCACCATCAATTCCCAAGAATTCATTAATTGATTGGAGAAGGTCGAAGTCAAGAACCGAGCCAAGTCGAGACTTTGAAGTAGCTAATAAAATTGTTCACTTATGTATTCGAGCAACGGAGTCTAAAACCATGAAGTTCATGTGTCAATGAGTAAATTTGATGAAGGGGCCGAAGTCTAATTCAATTGGGATTTGCTTGACAATTGCAGCCGAAGACGGAGCCAAAATCAAAGATTGTATGGCCGCACAACTTCCAACCCCTGCGGCCACATAGGAGCAAACAAGGAATTTTTTGGCTGTTGATGAAGCTTCCATGCGGCCGCAATCACTACCACCATGCGCGCACCACAGAAAATCGGCTAGAAAATTTCCTTTCCACGCGAGAAGATTTGTTTGAGTCAATTTCTTATTTTTGGTAACTTTAATATTATAAGGACTCTAATTTCGTGTTTTACAATATTTTAGGAGTTTATTCCTTTTTAAATTAGGTTTTTATATTCTTTAGCATAAATAGGAGTTTTATAATTCATTGTAATAAGTTTGATTATGAATTAATGAGAGATTTTCCTCTTCGAAGCTTTACTTCAAATTTATCTTGTTCATTAAATTGAATGGGGCGAACTTATCGAGACTAATAATCTTGTGGTGTTCAAAATATCGAATTGAATAATTGAATTGTGTAATCAAGGGGTCTTTCACGTCAACGTTACCGTTGGATTTTTTGGTTCATCTTTTATTGGTTCAAATCCACAATCCGGGTGTGATTTCTTCAATCGTGTGATCAAGAGGTCTTTAAAGCAACGTTCTTGTTGGGTTGCTTGGTTCACTATTTTGGGGTCAGATCCATAAACCTTGGTCATATTGGCGTTCTTGGGATCCGATTCAATATCCTGTAAGTTCGATTGCAACCTTGCTGATCGGGTTCGCATCAATACAATAGCACCTGTATGTATATACATCCCAATAGAATGTTGTCAATAATACAAAAAAACACTAAAGGGAAAAGCTAGACTAAAAACATAAAAGTGCATACAAGCATGATTACATCATGTTCAACCTTTCTTAGCTTATAACCAGAAATTAAAGTATGACAATTGAGAATACTGTCTGAAATAAAGATGAGGATATTGCAATTGAAATGTTTCATGGAAAGTAATATATGGGCTCACGGATTCCCAATCTCATGTGAAAATGAAACTTATAATACAAGGAGTTGGAACTTGTTGAGATGATTTATAACGAAATAATCATTTCCAACTTATAATGAAATTGAGGCCACAGAGGATCTGGAACCCACATGTTGATTGTAGGAGGCGAAAAATCTCTTTTTCCATGTAATCCCTGGCCGCTATGCTCCTTTTATTATCGGACAAAAGGTTTTCAACTTACATTGCTCTTTATGAGAGTCAATGAAGCATATTGTCCTCGACCAATTCATTTAGTGATTTTTTTCTCCCCAATGCAAGTCCATAGCTTTTAAGGATCTGCTTCAAGAGACAGGAATCATCTTACTTCTGAGTCGAGAATCTGTGGGCAAGAGATTGTGAAAAAAAGGGCTTGTGTCGTCGACGTCTTTGATTTCAAATTCTGAAGAAATTGTGCAAATATGTCGGTCTAATTTGTCTCGCTAACGTCTTTCCAGTTTAACAAGGGTTAATAAAACTGCCACCCTTTTGGATTTGAAAGAGATCTTCACGCCGACGATCTAGATAGAGGGTTGAGAGAGAGAGAGAGAGAGAGAGAGAGAGAGAGAGAGTTTGGGGTGAATAATTCTTTTTAAAAACAAGGGAGGAGATATTTTGACCCCTCAGCATAAGTGGCGTTTTTTTGAATTCAAAATACCGCCACGTCATTCTTC